TGGAACATCCTTGCGGGAGGGATGACTGTGGCAACCTCCATTTCATAAGTGAAAGCACCCATGATCGATTTAGTAGAAGAAAGAAAGAAGAGGAATTAATTGTGTAAAGGAGTTTTCTGCTTGAGTCGTGTGACAACTATGAGAAATGGAGGTGGTATGTATACAATTAAAGCTGTGCAAAATTGTCAATGCATGAAGGATATGAATCATGTTTTTCTCAAATCTAGAAGAACATATGGCCACCCATCTCTTACTAAACAATCTCAATCAATTGGTCAGAAGAAAGTAATGATAAAGCCAGGGACAGTAGCCTGAATTTTTCTCAATGAAAAATACTAGGAATATCGCGGATGATTTATGATTAACTGGTTCAAAGGAAACAAGCTAACGTAGGACTAACACAGTCCATGAAACATGATGAGTTTGTCCTTACAGGCTATAGCTGGTTTCCAACAATGGCTAACTAGTGTTAAGTCAAAATTTGCTGTCAAGATATATATTTTTCAGAGCTAATCACAAAAAATGGGTTTGATTTCAAATGAGGAGAAAAAGTTTTTCTTCTTTCCCTGAGAAAAATTTACTGATGAAAATTTCACCGCCTGGGTTAAATCTTTCTGAACCTTTTTGACCATGCATCATTAGTAAAGATTGTCATTATTATAGTAACTATATCCAAAGTCTTAATATTTGACCATTCTCATGAAGTACAGATATATATGGCTAGAAAATTATCTGTTCAGACTGTGATATGAACTGTCAATCTAATTTTCTCAAGGTTTCTATTTCTTCATGCTATTGACATTCATGCATCATCAAGGTAAAACTTTGCCTTAAATCTTACCAATTATATGTAAAGGAATACTTGCATTGACAAAAGTTTCCCCTTGTCCGGCGGAGTTTGAAAGTTGCTAAACCCTATTCACATTTTGGTGTGTCCTTTAGAGATTAATTCCAGGATAATTTAAAACAAACTTTAGTCTTCTATTTGGAATTGGGACTCGAGAAACATGTATACCAAAATCTGGGCCAGTCTTGCAGCTAGATGAAGGATTAATTGGCCAAAAATTAGTTTTGGAGTTGCATCAGAATAAAACCTTGAGCTTCTTTAATTACATGTCGCCAACTCTTCTTTTTATTATAGCAAATGAAGAAATTAAGAGCCTGGAAGCAGGGCCCCTGGTTCACCTGTAACAAAAGCTTTTATCAGTTAACTGTTACAATCACAATTTACCATATAAATATAATCATAACTCACAAGTACCTGCAAAGTTCCTACTAGACCAAGCACTTGAATTCAAGGTATTTTTTGCTTAAAGTATTGGAGTTCTTTCCTTTTAATCTTCTTCTGATATTGACTGCTTTCTAGATCCATAAATTTGTTCTTTATAGCTTGTCTGCTGCGTATGGAAAAATATGTAAGGTGAGTACACAAATTAGAATCAATTGGAAGTTTCATTAGATTACAAATTTTCAATTGAAATTGATTATATTATCAAACTGAAACCATTCAATAGAATATGTGGAAATCACCTAGGATTTCACCCGGCCAATTCAGAAGAGCCATACTTCACTCTCAGTCTATAAATACTACAGTTTTCAGGTTCACATCTCCACACCTCAAAAATCTCTCTGCCAAGTAATCAATCAATTCTCTTTTTCACTCTTCCTTTGCTCATTTTCCAGATCGCTAGAAATCATGGGTGTTTTCACTTATGAATCTGAGGTTGTTACTACAATCCCACCAGC